TGAGCGATACATTGATTTTCCTCCTGTTACACTCAGCTGTGGCCTGACCCCTTTCGGCCCAGCCAGCCCGGGAATGTGCTTCCAGCTTAATTTAAGGAAAGTCCAGCTAGGACAAGACTCTGAGGCCACGTCCCTGGGGTCGGGGTCCTTGGTGTCTCAGTGCCACCCTTGCGTCCGTGCTACTCTGCTCTGTGTGTGTGTGTGTTTGCAGTGAACAGCATCACCTTGGCGGTGAATCTCGTGGGCTGCCTCGCGTGGCTCATTGGAGGCGGCGGAGCTGTAAATTTTGGACTGGCAATTCTCTGGCTCATTCTCTTTACGCCCTGCTCCTATGTCTGCTGGTTTAGACCTATTTACAAAGCTTTCAAGTAAGTGGTCGCACCTGAGCCTGGCTTCTTTCTGCCTGGTTTTCCTTCCTAAATGGTCAGTGTTTAGCTTGGGGCATTGCCTGACTAACTGGGGGAATTCCTTTCTGTGCAGCCCTTTAGCTTTACTTTCTAACCTTCAAAAGCAGAGTGTTTGGGATTTCCTGGGGGCCAAACCTCCCCTCAGGTGATGTAAGGACACTTTCCTTGTGCCTCTGTGCAGCGGTGGGGGACAGTGGTGAGGATGCAGCTGGGGTGCCACTTTCCCTCTCATCCCTGAGGCATCTCTTATATTTTTCCACAAATCCTCGAGGTGTTTGTATGGATTACCCATGGTGCTGAGGTCAGTCCCTAAAGCTAGAAATAGGGGTGTGTTTATTCCCCATGTGGGGTGGTGTGAGCTGAGAGCTGTGTCCCAACATAGATGTCCTCAAGCCCAGCTGACTGAGCCATAGGGAGGGTCTGGTGCCCCATGGCTTTCCCAGGTGTCCCTTGACCACCTTCAGCCTCTTGTAGTTTCTCCTTTGCCTTTAATTTTGCTTTTCATCACCCTCCTGCTAAACCATGGCCAGGTCTGATTTGTCGGAGCATCTCCCTTCCCTTGGAGTGCAGCGGGGATGGAGGTGCAGGAGTGACTGAACCTTCTCTTGCAGGACAGACAGTTCCTTCAGCTTCATGGCCTTCTTCTTCACCTTCATGGCCCAGCTGGTGATCAGCATTATCCAGGCTGTGGGGATCCCTGGATGGGGGGTCTGGTAAGGAAAATGCTACTGTGTTGGGTACAAGGGTGGTCACTGTGGTGTTTTAGTATCCTTACTTGTTCTCTCCTTGGGGAAGATAGTTTGAGGAGCTGGGAGGGCTGCTGGCAGTTTGGGAGATCTGGTGAACGAACCAGTTGTTTCCATCTCCTTGCAGTGGCTGGATTGCAGCGATTTCCTTCTTTGGGACCAATGTGGGCTCAGCTGTGGTGATGCTGATCCCCACCGTGCTCTTCACAGCCATGGCAGTCTTCTCCTTCATTGCTCTCACCATGGTACGGCAGCAAAACCAGGGGTTCCGCGTGGCTTTGGGTGGCCCTCCTGCCACCGCGGGAGCTCCGTGCCGGCCGCAGGCGCTCAGCCCCTCTGGATTTTCCCTGCAGGTGCACAAGTTCTACCGGGGCAGCGGCGGGAGCTTCAGCAAAGCGCAGGAGGAGTGGACCACGGGGGCCTGGAAGAACCCCCACGTGCAGCAGGCGGCCCAGAGCGCGGCCATGGGGGCGGCGCAGGGCGCCATGATGCAGCACGAGACGCAGTACTCGGCCACCCCCAACTACACCTACTCCAACGAGATGTGAGCAGCAGCGGGACTCTGTCCTCGGGAGGAAGAGCTGGGGGGGAAAAAGGGAGGAGGAAGCCTGAGCCGAGTTTCTGCAGCTGTCTCAGAAAGTCAGAGTGTACCATAATGGTGGTTCTTTTCCCGTCTTTGTAACGAGATCCTTTGGGATTTTTTTCTTTCTTTCTTTTTTTTTTTTTTTTTGGTTGTTTTTCCTGTTTTTCTTGTCTTGAGCTCTTCTTTTCTCCTTTCTTTTTCATTCTGAAGAGGCCGTGAGTTGACCTGCAGGGCTCTTGTTGTGCGTGGTAGTCAGTGTCCGTTCACGTGTCTTCTTTTTCCCTGTGGAGTAGTGTACGGTGGTGGTTCTTTAATTACTGTGGTGATAAGTGTATGTTAGAACCTCATCAGCCAAAAGCCCCCCCATGCCCCCAAAAAGGGAAAGAGCAACCAGCACCCATCTTCCCTCTTGGAATAAGCCCCAAACCTTGGGTTTTTGACGTGTGTGAGTTTCCTCTTTCAGTTGGTAGTGTCCAGCCACTTGCCACTCTCTCAGCAAGGGCAAGCAATCCTGGGAATTCTCCTTTTTTCTTTTGCTTTTTAACTAGCAGGTGGCTGGCTGATTTAGGATTGAAAAAAAAAAAGACAAAAAAGGGAAAAAAATATAAGAAACCCTCAATCTTGCTGTTGATATGCTGGAAGCCAAGAGATTCCTAATCTACACCCTGGCTCAGGATCTACAACTTCTCTCAGTGTGTGGTGTTGTGAGTAGTTTACACTTCAGCGTGGAGGACCAGTGTGTGTGTGCACGTGTGTGTGTGTGTGTTGGGGAGCAAGGACAGGTTTTCCCTGTGGGATACAACCATCCCATTCCAGATTCTGCATCCTGAGTCTGTTTTTTTTTAAGGCTTCTGTTTTGAAAAGCAGCTGTAAAAGCGGCAGAGCATTCCTCAGAGGACATACGCTTGGGCAAGGCTGCGGGTCAAATCTTGCCACCCCATATCCCAGCACATCCAAGCAGTCTCCCTGCTCATGGAAATAGCCAGGCCAAGATTTGTCCCCGTTAGCTTTGGAGGTTTGTGCTAATTAAGTCTCTTAAGGAGACCTCCAGGCTGGAGGGAAGGACTTCTGCTCACTTGCGCTCCTGAAAAGCATGGTGAGGTGTGGCCCTGTGTTTTCCTGGTGCAGAAATCCCTGTCAGGCCCAAATCCCTACTCAATTTGGGGATGTTGAACATTAAATAATCATCCTGCACCCTAGCAGGAGGCAGCTGAGCTCAGACCAACACTTCTTGGGGAAGGTGACTGGCACACCCTGGAAAAGGTTATGAGTGGGAGCATAAATGGGATGGATGCTGCAGGGCAGGAGTAGGGAAAGCTACTTCTCTGAGATGCTTTTCAACTCTAAATGCACTTTAAATAAGCCAAATTTTTCTCCAAGTCCTCGAAAAGCAGCCCAAACAGAATCCAATGCAGCCCTTTGGCTCCAGTATCTCCTGCCTGGCACAGGGAAGGAGCTCAGTGTGCCACCAGCCAGGACTGTGCGAGTCCCCAGCCCCGTATCTGTCCCCTCCAGCCCTCCAGTGATGCTTGGATGTGACCCCCATCCCTGAGAATCACCCCAAAAAGGACCTTCTCTTCTCCAGCAAAGCACACCAAGACTAGTTTCCTTTTTAAGGGTGTCACTCCAGTCATTCTGCAATAGGCAGTTGTCTCTTGACCAGACTAAAATGCAGCTACTGATAAAATGCCTGTCTGTGTGTGTGTGTGTGTATATATTTATGTATAAAATGTCAGGAGAAAAGTAATCCTTTGCTAAGCCTATTATGTACTTAATCAGGTTTAAATATTGTGCAATCCATTTCTAGCTCGCCTAAAATTTACTCTGCCAAACCATGTGCTCTGTCATCTGTGTCTGAGAAATGATGGATTAAGTGACTTCACCTCTTGCATTGACAATAAGATGAATCAATAATAACTGTAACGAGCTGTAACTAACAGACATTGCTTCAGCACCTAACCCTCCTCTCCAATGTGTCTCCTGAGTGTGTGAGTGCTGAAATGTTGTTCCCGTGGCTCCAGCTAGGTGGGAAACTCGACCCCTTCTTCTCACCTTGGTTATTTGTAAGCTGTCCCTGCTCCAGGTGGGGCTGATATGGCTGTGATCAAAATGTGGTGCTCCTGAAGCCCACAGGGTGGGAGAGATGGGGTGTTCCTGCTGCTGGGCAAGAGGCCTCTCATAGAACACGCCTGGGCTTCTCCCGATGGGTCCCTGTGGCCTTCCACGTCCTGCAGTCAGCAGAGCACAGCTCTCTCTGCCTCTTGCTGTCCTTGCTGCTTGCTCATAGCCAGTAGCAGAGGGATGTCCAAATAACTGCTGCTTTTGAGCTGGACCTGCAAAGGGCTGGTCAGCACGGGCTGCCCCAGATCTGGCGTGCCCACATAAGCATGGAATGGTTTGGGTGGGAAGGGACCTTACAGCTCCTCCAGCAGGGACATTCCACTGTCCCAGGTTGCTCCAAGTCCCGTCCAGCCTGGCCCTGGGCACTGCCAGGGATCCAGGGGCAGCCACAGCTTCTCTGGAAAACCTGTGCCAGGGCACAATTCCTTCCCAGTATCCCACCTAAGCCTGCCCTCTGGCATGGGAAGCCATTCCCCCTCATCCTGTCTGTGCCTCAGACAATGAATACTCGGTCCTTTAATCCATTTTCCCATGCCAGCTCTGTGTGGCTGCCCTGAATCCCACAAGAAAGGTTTCACTCCTGGTGCCTAGCACTTTCCTAGGCTCAGCTATCACCCCTGCCACTTGAGGGGCCCTCAGACCCTCTCCTCGACCTCATTCCCCACGCTCCTTCTACGCCGAGTTTTTCTGGCTTTTGTTCCGTCCCAAAACCTTGCCACGAGCCAGAATCCCCGTTAAGACTGCTTCCTGAGCAGCCTAAAGCCACCCGCTTTCCCTTGGCGAGATCCCTCGCGTGGGCACGACTGGGGCACAGAGTGGCACAGAGCCCTGCCGGGTGGCAGCAGAGCCGCCATAACCCGGGACGGGGCCGTGAGGCGCCGCCATGACACCCCTTCCTCCCTCCGGCCGCTCACCCTGCCCGCACCAATCAGCGCCGCGGGCGGGAGCAGCGCGCACCAATCAGCGCCGCGGGCGGGAGCAGCGCGCACCAATCAGCGCCGTGCGTGTGCCAGTTCCTGGCACCCCCCACTTCCGTTGCGCCGTGCCGCTCCCTCACGGCCGCGCTGCCCTCACGGCCCCGCTCCCCTCACGGCCCCGCTCCCCTCGCGGCCCGGCTGCCCTCACGGCCCCGCTCCCGCACGGCCGCGCTCCCCTCAGGGCTCGGCTCCCCTCACGGCCCGGCTGCCCTCACGGCCCCGCTCCCCTCACGGCCGCGCTCCCCTCGCGGCCCCGCTGCCCTCACGGTGCTCCCGGCCCTGCCGGCGCTGTCCGGAGCGGTACCGGGCCGCTGTTTGTCACCTTCTGGGTGCCCCCGCGGCTTCTCGGTGCTCGAGTGCGGCCTTTTGGAGCCGTTTTCAGCACCGCTGCCGCATTAAAAGTCGATTTAATTAACCCCTCAAGGCCTGTAAATTGCATGTTTTCTAGTGGCTGCTTCCCCACTGGTGCGTTTGGGTAAGAGGACAGCGCGGCCCAGCACTTATTTTATCGTTCTATTACCTATATTATTATACATACAGCTTTTACTATAATCCTTTGCCCTTGTTTTATAATTTTTACCACTATTTTGCTATTTTTGCCGGTATTTTTACATTTGTACCGTTTCAAAGTTTTCACCTTTTTACCATTGTTTTACCGTATTTATCATTATTTTACCATTTTAATAATTGTTTTATAATTTTATCATTTGTATCCTTTTTATCATTACTTCATAAGCATTTTGAAAGATAACCTAACCTTAAAAATTTGTGTTTTAATACCCAGGCTTTAATTTCTGTATGCTTTGGTGGAATTAATTGTGGATGTTTTGGGAACATCCTAGAGATCCTTTAAGTAGGTAATAAGTTTAATTATTCATATATAATCATAATAATGATCTGATTTTAATTAGATATAGATAAACATGAAAAGCGTGGTGGTAGCATTCAAATCTCTCAAGCAATGTCCTGCTACATTTCCTCACCTCTTAATTACCCTTAATTGGTGGATGCTTTGGTGGAATTAATTGTGGACGTTTTGGGAACATCCTAAGGATACTTTAAGTAGATAATAATTTTAGCTATTTATAAATAATCATCATAATAATGCGATTTTAATTAGATTTGGATAAATATGTGAAGCGTGGTGGTGGTAGCATTAAAGTCTCTCAGCCAATGTCCTGCTTCATTTCCTCACCTCTTAATTACCCTTGCTAATCAGCAAAGCTGACATTGGGCTTTTAGTGGAAAGTGTCCCTGCCCATGGCAGGGGTGGGATTTGGTCACTTTGATTCCCTTCCAACCCAAACCATGCTGTGATCCTGTGAAATTCCTCTTTCCAACCTCCAAGTTGCTCCCAAAAATCAGGACAGCCTGCGTCCATCATCTTCTTTCCACCCAAAGTGATTCCTAACAGTTAGTTTGAGCAACAAGGACATCCCTAAAATGGAACAAACTTTACTGGTTGCAGTGTTTTTTCAAGAACTGAATTTGCTCTTTGCTGCTTAATCTTTAATTGATTATATTTGAGATACTTGTGTCAGTTTCCCCAGCAAAACATCAATTTCTGGTTTTTGTCAGTGTGGCAGCAGCAGCATAGGGAGGCCAGGAGGAAGCAGCAGACCTGAATTAGAGCTGCTAGGGAATTATTTGTGGTGTTGCTGTCAATATTTAGGGACACAGTGAGAAACAGGGTGGTTGTGCATGCAGTGAGGCCCCACGTTTTTAATTATTAAGACATCTCTGTGCATTTATTAAACACCAGAGAATACAGAGGGACAGCAGCTCAGCAGGGGTTTGTTTGCCTTTAGAGAACTTGGTGTAAAATTTTATCCCAAATTGATTTATCTGCCCTAAATCCTGGACCATGTTCAACATGTGGGAGTCTTAATTTTGGGAGGCATGAACTTTACCAGGGTGCTTTTGTGGCCTCTCTGCTCAAGTTTTAGGAGGAGGGAAATGTAATTAAACATTGAGCTGCCCTTAAAGTTCTTCTGGAGCTTGAAATCCTTGTGGGATGAGTGACATTTGGGGTCTGACCCAGAGTCATCCCATCTTTCTGGATGGCTCTGGGTCCTGCAGAGTGCAGCTCAGCAGCTCAGATCCTCCTCTGTTGGGAATGTGTTGGGGGTGCAGCTGTGCTTGGAGGCTCTGTTAGTGCACTGTCTTTGTTCTCCTGTGCCTGCACAGCTGGATTGGAGCATGGAGCCCATCTCCCTGCCAGAACCAGGCATTCCTGCAGGAAACAGCTCATCTGGGGCACAGGAAAAATTCCATGTGCTGGTGGGAGTGACTGGAAGCGTGGCTGCCCTCAAGCTGCCCCTGCTGGTGGCAGAATTGCTGAAAATCCCTGCGGTGAGTGAAGCTGTTGGTGGAGCTTTGTAAAGCTGGAGTTACCCTGGTGCTGAGGAGTGATCACATGGCTTCTGCTGAAGTGACAGGTTCCTCCTTGGGGGCCCCTTAGTTCAAAAATGTCTGTGAGGAGGATTCCACCTTGCCCTTCCATACTTGAAAAGATCTTTGCTTTGAGTATTTTTTTTTTTCCTGGAGTTTGTCCTTGGTCAGTCAGGTTATCAGATGTGGCTGCAGACAAATGAGAAGCCATTCCCCCTCATCCTCTGTGTGCCTCAGACAATGAATACTCGGGTCTTTTAATCTACTTTCCCCTGCCAATTCTGTGTGGCTGCCCTGAATCGTGTAAGAAAGGTTTTTGAAATCCTGTAAGAAAGGTTTCTGATGCTTCTGAAACTTCAAATCTCCAGGGTGTTGCAGTTTTCCATGGGTGGGATATGGCTTTTCCAAATGTGATCAGAAAGGGAAAACAGACCTTGTAAAACCAGAAATGGAGAACACAAGCTGCTATATGTGTTTGTTTAATATTTTTTTACTGTTTGTTGTCTGGAGTAACAGAGGTGCCCAGCAGGGGCCACTGGTGACTGATCAGGGAGGGAAATGTGCTCTTTTCTGCTGTAGGATAGTTAAATGTAGAAAACTTTCAGGTTTTTAGAAATGGAAGAAATATTTTGGAGCTGTGAAAGAAAAGAGTAGCAGGAGCAAGAGGGTGCACTGAAATCTGCAGATTTATTGATGAGATTGCTGCATGAATATCCTTTGGGAGGCTGTACCTTGTGGGTCCCTTGAGAAGAGGCAGAGGAGGTGCTGGTTTATCTGGCTGATGTTGCTGTCCAAGCTGGAAAGGGTCCTGGAGGAGAGGCATGTGTGGCAAAGTGAGGCCTCAGTTAATTTATGACTTGGCCTGATGTGATTTGCAAGGTCAAAGGTCCCAGCCTGAAATAAGGACAAAGAAAAATGACATCAGGGAATGGGATGATCAGCCCAGAACCAGAGATCTAATCCTCTCCCTCTTGGATTAGCTTGGCTATTGTCTGGTTTTCTTTTGCTCCTGGAGCTTGGGACATCCTTCTGTGCAGGTGACAGGCAGAATGCAAATGAATGGTAGGAATGTGGCTCAAGCCCTTTGCTTCTCTCTGAGTGTTTGTTTCATAATTAAAAGCTGCAGACAGCTGGACTCCAGCTCTCTGTGCAGCCCCAGAGGTCTGTGACATCCAGTGCAGACTTGATGGCCACTGCTTTTAGGGAAGAAAAAGCAAAAGTAAAACATCTGGGAGTTTATAAAAGCTTGTTTATCAAAGTTATTTACTGATTTCTGCTGTGATTTCAAGGCCTGCTGAGTCAGTGTAACTTTCCCATGGCGTTCATTGATCCTGCACCAGGCTGTTGCATCAGTTTTTTACTGCTGGAGCAGAACTTTACAAAGCAGGCAGGGCAGGACTAGAATATGGCTTTGATACCAGAGGAGATGTGGTTGCAGGCTTGCAGCCAGAGTGGTTAGCTTAAATTGATGTTGTGCCTGAAATGGTCTGTGGTGAACGACTTGGCAGAGTGATTTTGCTGCTCATTAAACTTTAACACCTCCTCGAGGGTGCCAGTGGATGTGACAGCTCACTGCCTTTTGCTTGACTTGTCCTTGACTTGTCCTGGAGGTGTCCAAGGCCAGGTTGCACAGGGCTTGGAGCACCCTGGGACAGTGGAAGGTGTCCCTGTCCATGGCAGGGGGTGGCACTGGAACACCTTTAATTTCCTTTCCAATCCAAACCATTCTGTGGTCCTAGGTTAAAGAAAGACAAGGACAGACTTTTTGGTGGGCAAAATGTTTTGCTCTTGAAGCTCCAGGATGTCACCTGGACTTCAGGTTGAAGTCACACCCTGTCATTTCATTGTGCAGCTGCCAGGCAGCCTCTGCCTCAGCTTGTAGGTGCCGTTTAACAGAGGAGCTCCTGTGCTCAGGCTGCCTGGAAAGGTTTTGCTGTCAGAACTGAGAAAGCCATTCAAAAATAACCACATGCACCTCCTTACCCTGAGCAGAAAGGGCTGTGCCACGAGAATCCTCTATCAGAGACCAGCAGTGTTGCCTGAACACAGGAGAGCAGTTTTGTGGTAAGGTTTGTTTTGGAGATTTGGTTTAAGCCAAAGACCTTTAACTAATCTAAACTGTCTCCAGTGAGGGAGTTTGAGTGTGGCCAAACTGCCTTTGCTGTTGAAGATATCCACATGCAAACAGAGGGTGTGCCAGGTAAATAGAAAGAATAAACCATGTAGGCTGAAGTAATCCTGAGAACACTGGCCTCTTCCCAGTGTAGCTGGAGGGACTTGAAGGACTTGCTGAGAACAAGGGAACCAGGAGCCCACCCCAGCAGAAAACCTTCATTAGGGACAATATTTAACTCACAAAACAACTTTCTTGGGGGATGGTGGGATTTCAGCCACCAGCACTCAGACTCCTTGAACATCCCTCTGGAATGTTCTGGCCTGGAATGGTTGAATGCAGTGCTCAACAGCCAGAGCTCTTCCCTCGTCTTGGGCTTATGCTTGGAAGAAATAAATACTTTTCTCAATAGCAGCACTTCAGAGAGCAGCCATCCTCCTTCACACTGCACAGTGGCCTTTAAACCCCCCAAATAAATAAATAAATTAAAAAATTTTCTTGCAGACTGAGGTTAACACCTCTCCCGAAGCCTGCGGGGCGGCGATTGCGCCTTTGTGGGTGTCGCTGCTTGGCTCGAGCAGCTTCCTGTGGGGTGAGGTTAGCATGGCAATAATACAGTTAGCTAATGCCTCTGAGTGTGATCTTCATGCTAAAAACACTGTGAACACTTGTCATTCCAGTCAGGGGTGTTGCAAGAAAAACAGACATTTAGAAGAGGCAGAAAAGCAAATGCACAGTACCAAAAATGTGTTGTGCAGCTCTATTACCCTGTCACTTTTCCTTGAGAAAATGGGGGAAATTACCAGTGGCCACAATATGCCGAGGCTGGCATTTTCCACTGCTCCCAGCTGTTATTCTAGTCTCAGGATGCAAGGAGCCAACACTGCCTTGTTCCCAGTGGAATAAATGGTGTTGGGAACAGGATTGTGCTCTGTCACATCAGTGCTGCTGTTGCAGAGGACTTCTTGGAGCTTCGAGGTTTCTAGCAATTGATTGTAGCAAGGAGTGCAAGCACCGAGTGTCTCATAAGTTTTCTACCTCAAGGCACTGCTTTCCAGCAGAAAGGAGCTGCTGTGGGGCTGATTTCTCCCCACCTCACTGTCAGACCAACAGAACCATGCAGTGGGTCTGGGAGTTGCTGGAAGGAGCAGGCAGTGGCCAATACCATGGAAAAGGGATATTTTTCACTGTAATCAGCAGCCTGAGGTTCATCTTCCTCATTACTAGTCTTCAGAGTGCTCCATCCATGTGTTTTGATGTTGACCAATTTAAGGAGCATCCTTGGGAGGAATTGCAGCTGGAAATTCAGCTCCGTGTCCCACGTGAGCAGTCAGGGCATGCAGAGCTGACACTGGCTGACCCTGGTATGTGGAGGACACCTCTGGTTCACTGCCTGTGGCAGGAGCTGCTGGCAACATTTATCAGAGCTGCAGGACACATAGAAAACAGGGAAAAGGCCCCTTTTCCACTTGGGAAGATTTCTGCAGGAGGAAATGAGAGGTTCACCTTAGCACCTTTTGTAAGTGAGTGTCAGATAAACACCTAAAGAATGGGATAGGCTTTCTCCAGCAGACACCAATAAATGAAGGTTGCAGTGGCTTTGCAGGTTTATCTGAGATTTCAGAGAGAACCCTCGTGTGTTCCCCCAGTCTCTCTCTGTGGAAGCCACTGGTTTGCTGCACAGAAACCCTGTGCTATGGACACAGCTGCACAGAGGTTTTCCCTTTTGCTTAGCAGGTGAGGACCTGCCTGTTTTAGGTGGGCATGAAATGAGTTTCTGGCTCCTGTGGATGCCTGTGGTGGCCTGGCCTTTCAGCTGTGAATAGGGGAGGCTCTCTGAGAAGCCACAAAAATCTTCAAAATTGTCCTCAAGTCTGACCAGTGGTCTTTTTCTTTCTGCTTAGCTCGAGGTGAAGGTGGTCACTACTGAGAGAGCAAAACATTTTTACAATGCCCAGGAGATTCCTGTGATCCTCTATGGTGATGAAGAGGAGTGGCAGGTGAGTTGTTCTTGCAAATAGAAGCATTCCTCTGAAGTTTTCTTGCAAGAAACCACACTTAGTTCTTTTCTAAACCTGAGCCAAGACCCACTCTTTGGTCTAGTAATACATGTTTGGTATGTGGCTTTTGAAGAACACGCTGTAAAGGAGGAGGAAGAGAGAGGCTGCCCTGATGCAGTGCAGGATTTTGTTCTGCAGCAGGCAGGGAGGGTAGCAGTGGTCTCTTTCCACCCTGGGCCCAGCTGCTCTGAGAGTAGTGTCAGGAAATGTCAAGACAGCCACTGCAGAGGCACGGTGAGCGAGTTTGGTGCTTGTCATGAGTCATACTTGTCACGCAGGCAGCAGCTTCGTTCTCCTTAGCTCAGCTGTCAGGGCTGTGAACATCTCTGCTCCCTGTGAAACGGCTTTTTCGCCTGACTGCAGTTTTACTGACACACTTTGAGAGTCCTTGAGTATGAAGAGGTTTGTTGTACAAGCATCAAGATTTATTTTTTCCATACATTTCATCCCTGCTTTGCAGTGCTGATCTGAGCACAAGGTGCTCTCTCCTTACCCCTATTCCTATTCACACGTGAGCATCACTTTTAAGTGGCAGACACACATTAGTGGCAATGGCCAGGAAATGTTCTGGCTGATCTCAGGGTTTGGTGGATACCTACTGGATCCCAGGGTGCTACAGCCTCAGGCACTTATTTCTGAGGAACCCTCTGTGGGGTGATAGAAGAGCTGCAGGTCAGGCTTTGAGGTCTGCTGGCACACTGGAGAGCAGGCACGGAGCCCTTGTGGTAGGAAATAATCACAGAATGGTTTGGGTTGGAAGGGACCTCAAAACTCATCCAGTGCCACCCCGTGCCATGGGCAGGGACACCATCCACTATCCCAGGTTGCTCCAAGCCCCATCCAACCTGGCCTGGAACATTTCCAGGGATGGGGCAGCTGCAGTTTCTCTGGGCAGCCTGTGCCAGGGCTTCAGCACCCGCACAAGGAACGATTTCTTCCAATATCCCATCTAACCTGCCCTCTGGAAGCTATTTCCCCTTGTCCTGTTGCTCCAGGCCCTTGTAAATAGCCTCCCTCCATCTTGCTGGCTCCTTCAGGCACTGGAAGGACACAATTGGGTCATCCCAAAGCCTTCTCTTCTTCAGGCTGAACACTGCCACTTGTCTCAGCCTTTCCTCATGGGAGAGGCGCTCCATCCCTCTGATCAGCTTGATGGCCTCCTCTGGGCTCACTGTGACAGCCTGCTCAGCATCTCTTTTTGAGATCCTTCACTCTGGCAATAAAACAACAAGAAAGACTAGAGGTGAGTGGAGGAGGTGGGAAAGGTGTTCAGGAAGCCCTGGCTTTTCGGATGCTGCCTTTTTGTTGTGGCTTCCCGTGACTCAGAGGAGGAGCAGTTTGTGGCCCTGACACAGCCCGTGCTGGCCTGTGGTTGGGTCTCCTCTGGGGAATAAGCACCTGATGCTGTTTGCTGCTTCTAGGACTCTTTCCGAGTTAACTGAGCTCTTAAGACCAGGGTTCTCTTGAGCAATTCAGAGCAAATAGAAATATTCATTCAAGAGTGTGTCAAGGAGAAGCTGTGGCTGCCCCATCCCTGGAAGTGTTCAGGGTGGGATGTGCCTTGGAGCAACCTGGTCAAGTGGAAGGTATCCCTGCCCATGGGACAAGGTGAACTTTAAGGCCCCTCCCAGCCCAAACCATTCTGCGATTCAAAGAGCTGAGAGAGGAGAGAAGTGCCAAACTGGATAAACCTCATCCGTCATGGAGAAAGCCAACACCACACTGTTCCCTGCAGTACTTAGGAGAGTTCCCTTTGCTGTTTTGAGTGAGCAGGGTTGTGCATCCTAATTAAAAGTGGCATTTCAGTTAGGGATCTGTACCTCGTGAGAAGCCAGTGGGCCGCTTCACTTCAATGTGAAGTGTGTAAATCACATGGGTTCCCCAGGAAATGTTCCCCTGGTTTGGGCCTGCCTGGCTCAGCTGGCTGAAGGACGGAGCTCTTAGAAACAATTACAAAGCTAAGGGATGCTGTGGGTGGGGACAGCTCTTTGCTGTGACTCGAAACCTGTGGTTGTCACATGTGTGAATTGTCTTGTGAGGAAAGGATTCCCCCATCCACTGATCCACTGCCATCCCTTAAATTCCATAAGCGTAATTCCATAGGAATTCCATCAGGAATTGTGATTCCTGGGGTGGGATTGATGAGGTGTGTGAGGGTTTGGTGCTGCCCACCTTGTGTCCCCCACAGCTGTGGAAGGGCCGCTCGGACCCCGTCCTGCACATTGAGCTCCGGCGCTGGGCTGACCTCATGGTGGTGGCACCTCTGGATGCCAACACGCTGGCAAAGGTCGCCAATGGCATCTGTGACAACCTGCTGGTGAGTACCCAGGCTCTGCCTGCCACTGCTGCCACCCCTCAGGACTGCCTGACCTTGCCTCCATGGAACCTTGGTGCTTCTGCAGCATCACCAACAGCGAGACTTGGACGTACTGCTCCCCCTTCATCTGCTTGTCTCTCTGTTCCCCAGCATGGTTCCACTGCTCCTTCTCTTTCCTTCCCTGAAATCCATTCCCACTCCTCAGCTCTCTGTCTCTCATCTCATTTCCCAATCCCTGCTTTGTCTTCCCTGCTGTTTCTGGAGGGTGCTACTTCTTTCTGCCTCCATCCTCTCTCTCTGTCACTCGTACACACAAGCACACACTCACTGCTTTTTGAGTTCCTCTGTTTTTTTCAATACAATCTGGAAAGACACCTGTGAGATCAGATAAAACTGTTTACTTCCTGCTACTTCACCACCTCCCTCACCTAACATAGCACAGACTTTCAAACATGCTTATGCCCACTTACCTCCCAGCCTCAGCTACAGAGGATTTTGCTTGTTCAGGCCTGTTTTTTGGTATTTAAAGGTCTCTTGAGGCTCTTCAGCCTAATCAGAAACTGTATTAAAAGGGAGTGTAGCTTCTTTGTTGGGTGCTGGGGACCTTCAGCACGGCTGAATGTTTTGTGGCCTGGTATTAACCACACAAAAGATTTCAGGAAGCTGTGGATCTGTGTGACCTACAGCCTTTTGGGTAAGAAATGCATATAAATGAACAAAATCCACCCAGAGCAGATCACTGAGGATCTGAGAGAAGGCAGAAAGAGCTGTGGGAGGCACAAGTAATGTCTTGTCCTTCTGGGTCCCTTGGGGGTGTGCTGAGGGAAGAGCTCAGGATGGATGTCAGGGATGTGTGGCTTCACAGGGTCCTGCCAATCTTTGAGAGCCTTGTGAAGGGAAGAGGCAGGTCCAGGAAAGGGAAGTGAGTGCTGGAGGTGCTGGTTGGCATTTCAGAGCAGATTGCATCAGATTTCCTTGTGCTGGGAAGGGTTCAAGTCACAGGATATAAAAAAGGATGGGCAGGGTTCCTGTAAGACTCTGTTATCAGAGCTGCTCCCTTGGAAGCTCCTTTGTTTGAAATGCTGCAAGGCCTGGGGAATCCAACGGACATTGCACTAAGAACAACCAGCATTATCTTTCCAAGGGGATGAGGTGATCCTTGGTTGTCTGGAAGTGCTGAGGAGTCAGATTTGATTGCCTGTAGCACACAGGAGCTGCCAGATGCCTTGTAACCTGCCAGCATCTCCTGCAGCAGCCCAGATGTGCTCGTGTTCTCCTCTGCTGTATCCTGGAAGCAGCACTGCTTCCCTTGCAGGGAGTTATGGATCCAGCTGGCATTTCGTGTCAGAAAGACTCATTGCCAACTTTCAGTGTTCAGCTTTGTTATCTGAAGTGTTGCCCCGGGGGTGTCTTTGTAGCCAGTATAATCTGTGGCCTCCTCTCAGCTTCTCTGTCTCCTGCAGTCTGTACACATCCTCTTCCAGCTTGGTTTGCTCCAGCCTGGGCTGCTGGCTGGAGCACGGTGGGATTTATCCTGTGGGTAGCCTCCCTCATCTTTCCTGCCTGTCAGAGATGAGCTTGGCTGGAACGTGCTACAAATTAATCTCAGCCCATTGGGTTAGTCCAGCTGTGCTGACAAAACAACAGCCAGGCTGGAAAGGTGCATCAAAGGGATGGGAAGGAGTGAGGAGATCCCAGCCCTGCCATGGCTTCTCCTGCAGACCTGCGTGATCCGCGCGTGGGACCTGAGCAAACCCCTGCTCTTCTGCCCAGCCATGAACACGGCCATGTGGGAGCATCCCATCACAGCTCGCCACGTGGAGCAGCTGAAGGCCTTTGGCTACATGGAGATCCCCTGTGTGGTGAAGAAACTGGTGTGTGGAGATGAAGGTCAGTCCTTTTCTGTGGCTCCTGCCCCTTTGCCCCCCTGTCCTGGAGAGATGTGCTGCCTCGTGCTGTGTGGCCACAGAGATGTTGAACTGCCACGGTTTGTACAAACAACCTGAAGCTTTGCCCTGCGTTATCCCTCTCATTAATTTTTAAATAGCCTTAAGAGCTTCCAGCTGAGCCTGATAGTGAACAGAAATGCTCATTCAGGAAGAGAGGAGATCAAAGAGAAGGAAGGTTCTGTGGCAAGCTTTACCAACCTGGGATTTGGGTGTCCTGACTTTGCCCTCTGCTGGGACTGGGGGCTGTTTTCATTGTGCCTCAGTTCCTCAGCTCCATCACTGGGATTAAATCTTATCCCTGAGTGCAGACAGTAAGAAAAGCCCTTTGCAGATGTGGCTGGGAGTGTAGCTGGACACACACTTAACATTTGTTGTTGTTGTTGTCTGGGTTACTATTTAGCTTCCCAAACAAGCTTTGATTTGGGGTTTTGACACCAGAATTCTGTGAAGTGAAAGAGGGGTGTGGAGGAAGTGCAGACTGAATACTTTTAGCTTACAGTGCTAAGAAATAATGGTCTCATTTGAGTTTTAGTAGCTGCTTTAAATGGAGGTGTTTTGACTTTTGGGGGAAGGGTTTTGATACAGACCACTTGGATGAATGGATTTGCTTTTTTATTAAAATTTCATTGGGCAAATCTCTGTAAAATACACCTTAGTTCCAGCCACAACCTGCAGTCCTGGTTCCAGCAGGATTTTAACCACCCTGTCAATCCAATAAACAGTCTGTGACAAAGACAGGCTGTTAAAATGTCCCTCGTGGTTAAATTCTAGGCCTGGCTTAGTTTTGGAATCCTTAGGTAGGTGCAATGTCTCCATTTTTTGAACTGAAAACTAAGAAATATTTACAGTCAGGTAAGTGTAGTCAAGTAACTCAGACATCAGTTGAAATATCCTAGATGATTAGCCTTCCACTGGGATTTTAGACATGATTACATCAAATTTCTTTATATCCAGCTCAGCTGTCTCAGCTGTGAGAGCAAACTCCTGAAAGAGCTTGGAGGAGAGGGATGCAGGGATGGCAGGAACAGCCTCATCTGACTGGACTCCACTTGTGCTCCTGAGTCAATTCCCAACAAGATCTTCCTGATGGCAAACCAGCACTTCTTCTGGCAGCCTGTAGGGAGATTATGGCAGGGCAATAATTGATTCAATCTCTCTGAAGACCCAAACTAGTCTCCACAACTGACTGCTTTTCACCCCTTCCCCTTTTCTCAGGCCTCTCACCCCACAGCCTCTTCCACGCTGATTTTGGTTTTGTGGCTTCCATCCACGCAGGGGTTTCCCTGGTTTCCACGCAAGCAGCACGTAACAAAGCTCACACATGTGGTGCAGGAGAGACTCAGTTTGCACCAGTTTTGTCTGTTGATGTTGTGGTTTGTTTTGCTCTAGGAGGTTTCTCTTCCTCACCCCCTGTGGTTGGGTCTTACCTGAAATGCACCAGATCCTTACTGCCCCCAAGTTGATGGATTTTTCTCCTTTACTAAAGGGTGGGTTTAGACAGAAAGTCCAGCTAAAAGAGTTAGAATACCAAAGTCAGTTTCTTGACTGGATAGTTTCCACACTGCCATTATCTGCTTTGTCCTTGACTGGATTTCTAGAGCCTAGCACACTGGCAGATTTCCACCTGTAGGCATGAGCTGTGCTGTAAGAGTTTGCTTTGCTAAACCTAAAAATCCAGCACTGAATTGCCAGAGGTGTTGGAGAAGGGGATGGTGGAGGAAGAAAGCAGGCCTTGGAAATGTTCTGGAAGGGTGTAGCTCTGCCAGAGCATGCAGAGGGGGTGTCTCTTGTCAGGTGCAACTCTTCTCCCTGAGCTTAAAAGTCCAAATCTCCCTGCAGCTTGTCCACAGGGTGCTCCAGACCTCCTGGGATTTACAGGTCTGAAAAAGAGGAAAATTATATTTCCCAGAACTAATTTCTTCTGAGTAGTAAGTTATGAGGTTAATTAGCCAGCAAGATAAAATACCAAGAGAGACTCCTTTTCAGTCTTCCAAGAGACAAATACCTGTGGGAGAAGCATCTTTCCTCAGCTCCAGGCAAATTAGAAGAGTGAGTGGCCTCAGTTGCCAGTGCTGAGTTGAGCACACAAAGTTAGACAAAGTGATTTCTCTTGTCAGGTGCAACTCTTCTCCCTGAGCTTAAAAGTCCAAATCTGCCTGCAGCTTGTCCACAGGGTGCTCCAGACCTCCTGGGATTTACAGGTCTGAAAAAGAGGAAAATTATATTTCCCAGAACTAATTTCTTCTGAGTAGTAAGTTATGAGGTTAATTAGCCAGCAAGATAAAATACCAAGAGAGACTCCTTTTCAGTCTTCCAAGAGACAAATACCTGTGGGAGAAGCATCTTTCCTCAGCTCCAGGCAAATTAGAAGAGTGAATGGCCTGAGTTCCCAGTGCTGAGTTGAGCACACAAGGTTAGACAAAGTGACTTAATCCTCTCAGGCTTTAAAATTCTGAACCTGAGTTTAAAACTGCTTCAAAGGAGAGCAGCAGCACAACATAGATCAGATGTTCATCTGGCAGATAACCAGGCCCAAAGGAGAAGCCTTTGCATTTTGTTCTGTCCAGCACTCAGCCTTCTCCAGGAGTTGCTCCCAGGATTCAGGCTGGTGGGAATCCACAACAACTTTCTCTAATGGAGGTCCTTTCCCTCAGGCAGAGTCATGGGAATGGTATGGATTTGTCAAGTCTTTTGTATAGGCAAAGATGTTTCAGAAAGATACTGAAATCACACAATTTTGAATTGAAATACACCCTGTAGAAAAGAGGTGAGATAAGGAATTTTGCTCCACACAGTTTCTTTAGGTTGCCCCACCCTGGATTTCACCATGTGGTTTTGCTCTTGCCCTGCAGGCCGAGGTGCCATGGCAGAAGTGTGGACCATCGTGGAAAGAATTAAAAGGATCCTTGAAGAACGGGATGTGCCAAGACAGAGCTGATGTTTTGGCATGTAAATAGTGGGTTTGTGCCTTCCTGATGGTTTGGAGATAAAGCCAGCAGGAAGCTGGGCTCCTGCTACCCATGGCATGCATACCTTTAGCTGCTCTCCAACAGAAGGAGCCAACGGTTGTCTTCCAGCTGGTGCCAAATGTGAAATGTGGTATTCACCACAGACTTTCAAAAACCAGAGCCAAGAATGTGCTGCTTTAGTGTGGAAAACCCTGTGGTATTTTGGGAGTAACTGTTCTGAGGCTGCTCAGCCCCCAGTGCTTCACACCTGCTCTGTTCTGGGCAGGCTGCAGAAGGTGTTTGAGCTCCTGTGGTTCTAGGGAGGAAAAGGCCCTGCAAATTCTGGTGCAGGGTAATTGCAGCCCCTTCTAGCAAGTGTCTCCTGGACCATTCCTGCTCTCCAAAGCTTGGTCCACAGCTGTGCTGGCTGCATGTTCCTCCCAGCAGGAGTCACTGTCCAAACAGATTTTCCCTCTGGGAACTTAATAAAAAAGAGTTTTTAATCCTGTCCCTGATGAGTTGCGTCTTGTAACTGCTTTGGCCAGTGTCTTTGCTAAGTTGTGTCTGCTTAGGGTTTTTTATCAGAGAAAAAAATGACTGAAAGGAGCTTTGCAGTCCTTTTGCTCTTTTGTAGCTGTTGTCTGGAGAGGGATGCAGGTATCAACCTCATTCCAAAATGCCTCCTGCCCATCTGGGTGGCCCAGTTGGGAAACAAGCAGGCCAGACCCTCATGGAAAACCGAGGCTGCATGTTTCCCATGGGGATGAAGTGAAACTTCACCTTTGGTGACCTTTTCAGCTTGAAAATTTACTGCCTGGCATGAATAAATTGGGAAATCCTGTGCCCTTGTGGGCCAGACCAGGCAGGGCTTCCCCAGTCCAGCCTTTCCTTGGGAACACAGTCTTGCTCCTGAGGGGACTGGGAGCTGTGGAACATACTGCTCTAGCAGAGCACTGTTGACCTACAGAGCACATTTTTGACTGAACCCAAACAAATTTGAGGCCTTGAGTACAGCATGTGCATCCTGCCTGTGAGGGAAACCTCCAGCCTGCTGTGCATGAGGGAAGAGGTCACTAGGTTAGGTTTGCTTAACTTACCCATCCCACACAAATAAAACCTCTGAACCTTCCCTGTTTTGTCTCTTCCACTGACAGAAAACCAGGGCGTCACACTTTCTGAGAAGGATCCTGGTGTGAGCAGAGCTTGTGGCTCACACAGAGGGCTGTAGTGGTGTTGTGGCTGTGACTTCTGCATTTTGCCAGGATTTGTGGAGTGACCTGCATCATTTGTTCAAGTTCTCAGCCTCTCAGAGGACCTTCCCTTAAGCTCACTGACAGTAGCAGAGATGTTTCTGTCTTCCATGAGTTTTGATGTGAATGGTGTTTCTTCTGCTCACAGGACAATGTGTGTTTTGGCTGCTACAACTGGCATTTGTCCTTGGGATCTGTCGTAGCTATCTCCTGTGCCTGGAGTTGTTTATCCCTCCTCCTGCTCCCTCACTTGGCAGCACAGAAAATCCAACAGAGATTCCTCTATCCCAGGACAAAATACCACGTTCCTGATAAGAGCCTTACTCTCTTCCAAGCCTGCTTTGCTGCCTTGAGCTGCTCCAGAAATGTTGAAAAGTGATCTTCTGCACAATTGCTGTGATTTTTTTCATTGGAAGCAGGTTGTGATAGCTTTCCAGGCTGGGATAAACCTGTGCCCAACCCACCTTTCCTTCAGGGCAAATAGAAGAAACAGTTAAGCTCCTTCTGGGAGGCAGGAGCAGCTTCCAGCCTGGCACAGGTACAAGTTCCCACACGTGGCCAGGGAGATGCAGCAGCCCGTGGGCAAGAGCTGTTCCCTGTGCAAAAGAAGCAGGAGTAGAGCTGGGAAAGCCCTGTCTGCTTGAAGAGGTGACTTTGGGACAGTGTTTTTCTAGGATGAGGCTTGGGGTGGTGATGAAGGACCTAGTTCCAAACCAGGGCTCTCTGCCAGCTTGGGCAATAGGCACTGCCAGGCTCTCCTTAGTCAATGAGGTCAGCAAGAGGTGTTGAGGGATGGATCCCTCAGGACATTCAGGCTTCCACCTCCATCCCTCACAGCTGTCTGTGTGTGACCCAGGTTCACAGGGCAGGCCTGAGACGCTTCCCATGAGCTTTTTCCTTTCCTTCAGCTCTTCTTTTTGAGCCACATGCTGATTTTTTGTTTCACTTTCCCATGAAACTCTCAGATGACTGAGGCAGCACTCCCATGAATCCTGCTGTGTTGCAATTTCATTCATCCTGCTTAAAACTGTTTCTCTCAGCATGGCTTGGGAGTGATAAAGAGCCAGGACAAAAGCTGAGCCAAGGCAGCAGCCCACCTCCTTTTCTGGGCTTGCATGTGCCTCTCAGCATCCCTGGCTCTGGCTGCTTGCCCCCATGATGGGATCCCTTTGCTGCTTGGATTTGGGGAGCACTGGAGGAGGATGGAGATGCACTGGTGCTGTTTTGGTCTGGCTTTGATCAGGAGTTGGCTTGACTTGGGATGGGAATTGCATCATCTCAGTGCCTGTCCCATCCCACTCCTCCAGCTTGGGAGCCTAGAGCAGGAAAAGAACATCTGAAAAAAGTGACAAAACTTCCCCATATGTAGACTTTGAGCAGTGGTGTCTCTGTGATGCACCTGGTGCAGTGGCTTTGCACCTCGGGGATTCTGAGTTGGCACTTGCCGCCCACTCCAGATCCCCGAAGCACGTGAGGTGGCAGGAAGTGGGTTTGTCCCCAACCATAGCCCAGGCAGGCACTGAGGGAGGCCAGGGGTTGCCACAGGGTGACAGATCAGCGGTGGCAAGTGAGAACAGGAGGTGTTGGTAGGTTTTTTCCTTTCCTTGCTCTGGTTCCCTTAAGCTCACTGACAGTAGCAGAGATGTTTCTGTCTTCCATGAGTTTTGATGTGAGTGGTGTTTCTTCTGCTCACAGGACAATGTGTGTTTTGGCTGCTACAACTGGCATTTGTCCTTGGGATCTGTCGTAGCTATCTCCTGTGCCTGGAGTTGTTTATCCCTCCTCCTGCTCCCTCACTTGGCAGCACAGAAAATCCAACAGAGATTCCTCTATCCCAGGACAAAATACCACGTTCCTGATAAGAGCCTTACTCTCTTCCAAGCCTGCTTTGCTGCCTTGAGCTGCTCCAGAAATGTTGAAAAGTGATCTTCTGCACAATTGCTGTGATTTTTTTCATTGGAAGCAGGTTGTGATAGCTTTCCAGGCTGGGATAAACCTGTGCCCAACCCACCTTTCCTTCAGGGCAAATAGAAGAAACAGTTAAGCTCCTTCTGGGAGGCAGGAGCAGCTTCCAGCCTGGCACAGGTACAAGTTCCCACACGTGGCCAGGGAGATGCAGCAGCCCGTGGGCAAAAGAAGCAGGAGTAGAGCTGGGAAAGCCCTGTCTGCTTGAAGAGGTGACTTTGGGACAGTGTTTTTCTAGGATGAGGCTTGGGGTGGTGATGAAGGACCTAGTTCCAAACCAGGGCTCTCTGCCAGCTTGGGCAATAGGCACTGCCAGGCTCTCCTTAGTCAATGAGGTCAGCAAGAGGTGTTGAGGGATGGATCCCTCAGGACATTCAGGCTTCCACCTCCATCCCTCACAGCTGTCTGTGTGTGACCCAGGTTCACAGGGCAGGCCTGAGACGCTTCCCATGAGCTTTTTCCTTTCCTTCAGCTCTTCTTTTTGAGCCACATGCTGATTTTTTGTTTCACTTTCCCATGAAACTCTCAGATGACTGAGGCAGCACTCCCATGAATCCTGCTGTGTTGCAATTTCATTCATCCTGCTTAAAACTGTTTCTCTCAGCATGGCTTGGGAGTGATAAAGAGCCGGGACAAAAGCTGAGCCAAGGCAGCAGCCCACCTCCTTTTCTGGGCTTGCATGTGCCTCTCAGCATCCCTGGCTCTGGCTGCTTGCCCCCCTCCCAAACTCGATGGGATCCCTTTGCTGCTTGGATTTTGGGAGCACTGGAGGAGGATGGAGATGCACTGGTGCTGTTTTGGTCTGGCTTTGATCAGGAGTTGGCTTGACTTGGGATGGGAATTGCATCATCTCAGTGCCTGTCCCATCCCACTCCTCCAGCTTGGGAGCCTAGAGCAGGAAAAGAACATCTGAAAAAAGTGACAAAACTTCCCCATATGTAGACTTTGAGCAGTGGTGTCTCTGTGATGCACCTGGTGCAGTGGCTTTGCACCTCGGGGATCCAGAGTTGCCACTTGCCGCCCACTCCAGATCCCCGAAGCACGTGAGGTGGCAGGAAGTGGGTTTGTCCCCAACCATAGCCCAGGCAGGCACTGAGGGAGGCCAGGGGTTGCCACAGGGTGACAGATCAGCGGTGGCAAGTGAGAACAGGAGGTGTTGGTAGGTTTTTTCCTTTCCTTGCTCTGGCGGGGTTCAAAACTACACAATTAGACATGAATCTTCCTCCTGTAAGAGGAGTGACAGTGGAAAAGGGAGATGATTCAAAGGGACAGTGGTGGTTCCAACCTCTGCCCTCATGTTTTGCTTTCCATGTGCTTGATTTTTTGTCTGGCCAGCCCTCCTGACTTGGGAGATGCTGGGAAGCAGCTGCATGACCCTGACTGGTGATAAGGTGGTTGCCAAAAGACCCAGCAGGGCTGGGCACAGACTCCTTGGCACCAGCAACACAGATAGCTTAACTTCGGTGGGGCAACCTCCCAATTAAAACTTGCAGGTGCAGGGTTCTTCCCCTGGCCACCTGCCTCCGTGGGTGCTTGAAAAATAGTTTCCAGGAGTAATTGAGCTTAATTAGAGCTTGAATTCCCTGGAGCTGGGATGCTCAGAGATGCACAGGGGACTGAAATAATCTGATGGGGCAGTTTCCCGCTTGGTCTCACCGTGGCTGAGGTTTTGTTCATGGCATCTCCTGTTGTCCTTTAGATGGAGATGGAGTTTTTTCTCTAGGAATACTGGCTTTGGTGTTGTACCTCACTTTTCTGACTCTCCAGGGAAAACGGCATAAAGGGGATGGAATGACCAAAAAGCCTTTGTGCTGTCCAGGGAGATGAGGAATAAAGGTCACTTTAGTCATCACAGTAAAGATAAAATGAATACACTCTTGACCAGAGGCTCCTGGGATCCTAAAGGGAAATGGGCTCTGCATGGAGACTCCTAAAATGAGGCTTAAAATCAGGCTCCAGCAAGTGTGATCGCCAAAACCCCTCAGTCTGAAATCAAGGAGTGCCTGGGTGCTCCCAATCCCCTGTCCCATGGCATTCAACCCCTGGCAGGTCATCGTTGGTCAATGCCAGCTGTGGGGGGAGAGCACCCCAGTGAGCCTTTGTCCCCCTGGTCCCACAGGAGTATCCAGAAAACTACCCCTCCCCCCCAATCCTTCTGCCAGCGCTGGGTGAGCGTGCCAGGAGAGGCAGTGCCAAAACAAGCTGGGGGAGGGCCAGCACAGCGATCAAAGCTTTCTAAAAGGGATTTATTCCTCCATGACCCCTTGGATGGCTGGAAGAGCCTTTCCCCAG